AGCAGAGAGGTAAAGCATGTCAACCCCTCCAGCCAAAAACCACCAGGAGCTCAACTGCAGTTGACAAGCGGGGTTTATTACAAATTGCATGGAGGGAGAATGCACACCAGAGGGAACCATTAACATCTCAGTAATAAAAAGTGTCAGGAAAAAAGCCTCTTAACAGGATGTAGGCTTTGGTTGGGTGATTCGGGGAAGAGTCCAGAAGAGCAGGGCTTTGTTCTCGATTGGATGCTGTCAGAAAGCAGGGATAAGCCCATGACTGAGTATCTCAATAATTCTTACCTATAAGTGGGATACACAGGAGCAGGAATAAAGTTGTAACTGGTAAAGAATTAGCAGTCACTCATAAATGGTAATATTGGCAAAGACTAGAAAAAGTCATGCTAGACAGGAACAGACATTGTTCTTGGTCACACTAGGTGAGAATCGTTGTTGATTCTTTGTGCAGAAGATTTTGATGTTGATTTCAGAAATCGAAAGAATCATATTTTAGTTATTAAGCATGTCTAGATCACAGTCTAGATCAGGGATGGGGAACATTTTTTCTGCCAGAGGCTATTTGGATATTTATAACATCATTCGTTGGCCATACTAACATAAACTTAAAAATTAGCCTGCTATATTTGATCAAACATTTAATTAACTCACCCCTAATGCCTTGGTAGGGCCAGACCAAATGATTTCATGGGCCTTATACGGCCTGAAGGCCGGATGTTCCCTACCCCTGTTCTAGACCATGGCTCTGGATATATTACTCAAATAATTTTTGTGCCCTCTTCAATGTTCAAGTACCTTTCCTGTGATCGTTTTGCAGTTACCTGGAATAGGGAAACTACCTATTTTGGTCAAGTTTAGGGTGTCCAGAGGGGTGAAAACAGGTAAAAGTCATTGCTTGCTTTTCAAACTATCTGTGGTAAAGAAACAGTTTCTTTTCTCCCCACTTGGTCTCATACTAATAATTTTGTAAATACAATAAAAACTAATTACTAGAAAAAATAAAGTAAAATAAACAAGACACAAAACTTCAGCCCCATTTTTTATTAGAACCAACACAAATATAATAACTGCCAAATTGCTATAAAAGTTTCTATATATTGTCTCACTTTCTACATTTATCTTGTCACAAACATTCAAAGAGGAATTAACCCCTATCCTCCTCAAACTATTTCAAAAAATTCAAGAGGAAGAAAGACTTCCAAGCCCTTTTTATGAGGCCGGTATTATCCTAATTCAAAAACCAGATAAAGATACTACAAAATAAAAAAAAATACAGGGCAATATCTCCAAAGAACATAGATGCTAAAATCCTCAAAAAAATATTCGGATCCAACAACACATTAAGAAGATCATACACCATGATCAAGTGAGATTTATTCCAGAGATGCAAAGCTGGTACAGTATTCACAAATCAATAAATGTGATTCATCACATAAATAAATTGAAGGCTAAAAATCACATGATCATATCAATAGATGCAGAAAAAGCATTCGACAAAATACAGCACCTGTTTGTGATAAAAACTCTCAGCAAAGAGGAAATAGAGAGACTATACCTCAACATACAAACTTACAACCAACATCATACTCAATGGGCAAAAACTAAAAGTGTTTCCCTTAAGATAAGGAACACAACAGGAATGTCCGCCTTCGTATTCTCATTCAACATAGTACTGGAAATCCTAGCCACAGTGATCAGGCAAGAAGAAAAAATAAAAGGCATCAAAATTGGAAAGAAAGAAGTAAAACTGCCATTATTCACAAATGACATGATATTGTACACAGAAAACCCTAAATACTCCACCAAAAAAACTTCTAGATTTAATAAATGACTTTGGCAAAGGATACAAAATTATCATCCAGAAATCGATGGCATTTTAATACACCAATAATGAACTCTCAGAAAGAGAAACTAAACTAATAATCCCAATGACCATTGCAACAACAACAAAAAATAATATACCTGGGAATAAACTTAACCAAGGAAAATCATAGGACATTGAAAAAGGAAAGAGAGGAAGATACAAACAAGTGGAAGCATATACGGTGTTCATGGATTGGAAGAATTAACATCATTCAAATCTCCATACTACCCAAAGCAATCCCTATTAAAATACCAATGGCATATTTCATAGATATAGAACATTCCAAAAATTTAGATGGAACCAAAAAAGACCCCAAATAGCCACAGCAATCTTGAGAAAGAACAGCAAAGTTGGAGGGATCACAATACCGGATATCAAACTATACTATAAAGCCATTTAAATCAAAATAGCCTGGTACTGACAGAAGAACAGGCATATAGACTAATGGAGCAGAACAGAGAACCCAGAAATCGACCCATGCCAATATGGTCAATTAATATTTGACAAAGGAGGCAAGAGCATATAATAGAGTACGATAGTCTCATCAATAAATGGTGCTGGGAAAATTGGACAGGTACATGCAAAAAAAAGAAACTAGCCCACAAACTTACATCATACACAAGAATAAACTCAAAATGGAAAAAAAAGACTTAAATGTAAGTCGCAAAACTATAAAAGTCTCGAAACATGTCAAATAGCAATATTTTCACCAATACATCTCCTAGGGTAAGAAAAACAAAGAAAAGAAAAAAAATGGGACTACATCAAACTAAAAAGCATCTGCACAACAAAAAAGCCACCAACAAAATGAAAAGGGAACCCACTGGATGGGAGAACACATTCACCAATGGTATATCAGATAAGGAATTAATTTCCAAAATATACAAAGAAGTCATACAACTCAACACCAGGAAGACAAACAATCGAATTTAAAAATGACCAAAGAGGACAGACAGATGGCTAACAGACATATGAAAAAATGTTCAACATCACTAATCATCAGAGAGATGCAAATTAAAGTTACATGGAAGTGTCACCTCACACCTGCCAGAATGGCTGCCATCAATAAATCAACAAACAAGTGCTGATAAGGATGTGGAGAAAAGGGAACTCTAGTACACTGCTGTTGAGAATGCAGACTGGTGCAGTCACTGTGGACAATATGGAGTTTCTTCCAAAAATTAAAACGGAATTGCCTTATGATCCAGCATTCCCTCTTCTGGGAATATATCCTAAAAATCTCAAAACACCAATTAGAAAGACTATATGTACCCCTATGTTCATAGAGCATTATTTACAATAGCTAAGATCTAGAAACAGCCCAAGTGCCTATCAATAAATGAGTAGATAAAAAAGCTGTGGTATGTTTACACCATGGAATACTGTGTGGCTGTAAAAAAAAAAAAAAAAAAAAAAAAAAAAAAAAAAAAAAGAATGTTTTATGCTAAGGGAAATAAGCCAGTTAGAGAAAAACAAATATCACATGATCTCACTTATATGTGGAATCTAATGAACAAAATAAACTGACGAACAAAATAGGTCCAGAGGCATGGATGCATGGAAAAGACTGAGAGATCTCAGAGGGCTGGGAGCAGGAGGGGATGGGAAGAGATTAACCAAAGAACATATATGCACATATGCATAGCCCATGGACACAGACAATAGTGTGGGGAAAGCCTGGGGTGGGGTGGGGGCTGGGTGTAGGGGGGCAAAGTGAGGTAAGTGGGGGACAACTGTAATACTATCAACAATAAATAAAAAACAAAATAACTAACTAAATCAATAAAATAAATTAGATAAAAAATTTTAAATACTGAATTAAATTTTATACTCAATATAATTTAGTTATAACTATTATAAAATACCTTTTATAAAACTTATTTCCATTTTACAGCTTAGCAGTACTAATTCAAGCTCTCTCTGTGAGTACTTTAAACTTCAATGACTTAGCTAATTCAGGTCTATTCAGCCTTCATGAAGAATAAGAAGAATTTGAAAGATTCCTCATGTCTTTAAACCCCAGAACATGGTCCAACCCCAAATATGAGGGTATGGATCCTAAACTAATGGGATCCAACTTGGAGAGTCAGACCTGCCACACATATTCTATTCAGTTCTTGCATGCTTTTAAAATTCTACAGAACATCCTGAGGTAGTATAAGACTGAAAACTAAAGCCTAAAACAATGAACTCACCAAATTTGATAAAACATGGTATCCTAATCCTTTGGGTGGATCTTTGGCACAGAGAGGATATTGCACAGTATTCATGGTACTGGTGGAGGACCAAGGTAGAATAATTATAAGCAGGAATGTAAGGAATATTTTGAGAACTCTTAGAAGCAGTGGCAAAACAAAGGGAATAGCTCTGAACTCCCAAGAAACAGCAGCCTGGCAACCATAGAAAGGAAAAATGGTTGCTCTTTTTTAAACAAAGACTTGGAGTCAACTGTGGATAGAAAAGGCATAAACATTGACACTCTTTTCAAATAACAACTGGGGATACAACACAAGTAAAAATATTTCACATCTGCAGAGTGTACAAAGAAGGGTCAGTTACTATTGGATTCAACCATAAAACTAAAGAGCAATATATGGGTATTTTACTTCAAGATAAAGGAAAAAATGAATCAAAGCTACCATACAGAAACAACTACATCTTGTGTTCATAAAATGCTATTTGAACAAATTGTGACATTAAGATCTGCTCATTTCCCATTTTAGCATTCTGTGGGGAAGTGAAAAAATACTTTCAAAATACTTTCTTTAAGAAAATATCCAAAGTTTCCACATAAGAAGTGTAATACTATCATTTTGGAGGAATCTATGTTTCTTTAGAAAGTTTTCAGAATGCTTTGAAAGAAATAAGGAAATAAAATTCCCCAATGTAACACAAGTGAAGACATAAGCAAAAAATATTAAAATAGCTGTCTTTTGTTTCTTGGAATAATGTCTTCATGTCAAAATTGAGCCAAAGCACACATCTTTGACAGTAAAATGTGTTCTACTGCTTCCTCCTGAATTTAAAGTATTATAATGAGGCTTCCTTTCCACCTCTACCTTCCAAACCATGCTGGAGCCATGGTACACTCCCAAACACCTACAAACATACACACACACGAGGGAATGAGTCTTACCAGACCATCACAGTTGTTAATGGCAACAGAGGTTCCCGGAATGTCCATGATGTCACCAACGTAAGCACAGTTGGTCTGCAAAGGCTCCGTTTTCCAGATTCTTTCGGAAGCACTTCCTGGTTGACGATCATTAACAGGGTCGGTTATATTCCCAGGCGCCGGAGATGTTTCTTGCCATTCCACAACAGCCCCAGGAGCTATGAGCTGAGTGTTGGGTTTTAGTCGCAGATGAAAATCTCTTCCAAATGCCGTGATATTAAAGAACAATTGCTCAGAGTTGGGAGACACGTCCCTTGTTGACCTCTTTTTGTGATTTGCAGAAAGAATATGAGAGAGATAGTGTCCTTCTAGATTTGTGCTGACTGGAGTCACCAGCTCATACTCTTTGTGTCTCTTTATTGGTGAATCTGTGGAGTGAGAAATACAATGGTAGGACCCTGTGCAACAACACAGGAGGACATAACATAGACATAAAGTGCCCAACTCACAAGACTGCACTCTCACGCATAATGAGTATATTTCTGAATCATCTCATACGTATTACATTTTGATAACTCAAATTATTTCTCAAATGCCCCTAGGTAACTCTGGGTTCAACAAATCTTTTTTTTTATTTTTAAAAAAGTTCATTATACTGCAAATATGCATCTCATTTATATATTTAAGAAGATGAACGTAAGTCTCCATTAACTATACCTGGCTTGCTTATAATCAAGACACATTCCCAGTTATTTTTGCTTAACTGACACCTGCTACAAACTTTTAGCAAAGTTTCTGTTATGTAGAAATTTTTTTCTTTTAATATTTTTTCCTATAAGAATAGAATTTATACTAGTTACAATAGCTACTCTATGTTGCATATACCATGACCTGTAATTTATACACTGTATTACATACACATTTCTTCCATCATAACAACTCAAACAAGCATACTTCACAGATGAGGAAACTGAGAATCGGGGTATATGTCCAAGTCAAATAACTGCTCAGATATGTATCCAACTGCTTCTCCAAAGCCCATATCGTCATTCTACAACATTATGTCATGTCCCATAAATCACAGAACATTTTCAGGAAATGAGGAAATAGGTAAAAAAGAAGAAATAATGATCTATAAGTTGAATATGCAGATATTAGTTAGTCAAGAGCAAATGGCATTGTCATTTTGCACAGTATTCCTTACATGGGACAGACACTTGAGTATGAAAGTGTATTTGGGGTCCACCTGACAACATGGGTGGCCACTTACATGTTAAACTGAATTTCAAAATTAGAACTTAATTCCCCTAGTTTAACCAATGTGAATATTATGTCTGCTAAAATGCAAGCATCCTTGGGAAAGATAACACACTGAATGAACCATTTATCCCTTTATAGAAATGGCTTTGAAGGCAGAAGACAGTGGATTCTGAAGGAAATGAGGGGCAACAATGAAAAAAGAGGCCCAGCCAGTATGGCTCAGTGGTTGAACATTGACCTATGTGACCTATGAAAAAGGAGGTCAAGGTTAGATTCCTGGTCAGGGCATATATATGCCCAGGTTCTGGGCTTGATCCCCAGTAGGGACGTGAAGGCAGCCAATCAAGTATTCTTTCTCATCATTGATGTTTGTATCCCTTCCTCTCTGAAATCAATAAAAATATATTTTTAAAAAAGAATAAAGAAAAAAAACAGAATGAAAAGAGAAGGCGTGGAAAGGGAAACTTGAGAACATAAAGAGTTCCCCACCTTCAGAATTCTAATCTAAGACTAGTCCTGTAGTGTGTTAAAGTACCTTAGAAAATTATATGATTCACAAATACTGTTCACTTATAGGAAATGTGTGTATGTCATTCAATAGAGCTTGAGACCCATAAATGAACCTACAATCTATGCTCTTAAGTATCCTTATAGAATCACTATGTTTGCTGCCGGCGACCAATTCCAGCATGTCATAATTTCAAGAGTTTCATCAAAAGGTTGATGAGACTTGGGGACTCAACAGGGTTGAGTCACACTTGTAGTCACCTGTTGGAAATGGCTAAAGGCATTTCCCCAAACCTGAATAGGAAACTGATTGTGGCTGCCAGACAGCTAAAAGGCATCTTAATCTACATGTTATTGCCTCCTACTGGCCAAACACCTGAACAGCCGTAGGCTAATTCCCCCATTCTGACAATGCTTCTGTACCCTTTGAAACCTTACCCTTTGAAGTGTATTATCTCCACCTTGCCTTAGGACAAATTGTGTTAATAAAAGCAAGGGTCCAAGACAAGGAGGGAGTCTTCAGTTCCTTTAGCTGAAGGTCCTCTGACCCCCAATGTCTTTCAAAATTATATCTCGTCTCTGGACTCTTTATTAGTCTCTGGATTCCTATATCATCTACACACAGCCTTTTCCAGATTCCTGAACCCTTCTTGATGCTGGGACAAGAACCCCGGCAGTTTGCATTATTTTTTCTAATTTTCAAATACAAACTTCAAACAATGTATAAAGAACCAGAAGACAAATGAAGTCATTTTGCAACTTGGAAATTTCTCGAGTGCCTGTTTGTAATCATTATGCCACTTATAATGACCAATGGATTTAAACAAAATATCTCTCTAAAAATGCACAGAGTAAGTAACCTGGTTGTAAATATTTACTAGGCAGAGGAGTAAGGACTGTCCTATCACAGAAAAAAGTGAAAACTTTGCCACAGCAGCATAACCCCTGTACCGTAGGTGCTCCCTGTCATAGCCAAGGCCCAATACTAGGTAGTACTGTAAGCACAGACACAGAGGTTGGTCTCCCTACAACCAACTCTCTGGTGAACACTTTTGTAAGTTCTGGTTTAGGGAAAGAAGTTGAAATTTTAGGGAACGAACTTAAGTGTCACAGGAGGGGAGTGATGGAGGGGAAAGCTCCCATAGTGAACGATGAATTCAGATCTTGGATGTGGACTGACAAAGCTTACCCCCAATTAATTCCTTGAGGATATGAACTCCCCATTCAACCCGGCATTCCCAATGTACTCTAATAGCCGATTTTGTACTTGCCAGGGTCTCTTGTCAGTAGAATGTATTTGGTGAGTGTTAAGGTGGTAATGCAGGTAACTAGAGAACCTTTGCTTTTTCTAGGCTGCTCCACACTCAGACTTATTATCCAAGGCCCTTGAGCATCTGGCTGCACCAATAATCCCAGTTATAACTCTTTCTCTAACCATCTATTTACTGTTCCATGGGAAGGAGAAAGTAATGCTTTATTTTAATGTATGGATTTCCCATCTCCACTGAAGGGCATTCACACAACCAAAGTCTAGGCAATACACTGATGCCTGGATTAAGTGACTGGAGAACTAGAAAATCTAAGAAGAATGCAGGGAGGCTCCTCCTCACCCAGCAGGATACCCAGAGCCTCATGCTGACAGTAAACCATACATTCCAGATTCCCTGGGACAGTCCCATGTTCCCTGTCAGACAGCACGTTCTGAAATTTTATTCAAAATAAAGATGGTGTATTGCTATAGAGCTTTGTCATCTCGAATGCTAAATAGCAAATCATTGCTAAAATGTGCACATAAGAAACATTTCTGAAATTAAACCCTGAGTGAGTCCATTTCCAGGTGGAATTTAAGGTAATCAAGGGATAAGATGCACTTAGTAACCTCTCAGGCTATCTTCCCCTGACGGTAAATTGATGAGCTGACACAGTAGCTACTCAGTCATCTGCCATTTATTATCAAAATAGACCCTGGACTGCCCTCTGTGCTCGAGAATATATCATCTCTAATTCTCACAACGCTCCCAGTAGGTAGGTGTTATTATCCTAGACGGCCTGTCACTAGCCAGCAAAGAACCAAAAGAAAATTTCAATTCTGATCATTTTGAAGCTGAAGATCATCCTCCTATGCTCTTACTCACTTCATCTTACTGTCAACTTCTAATTTAAAATCTGACATATAAAGGAAAACTACCACAAGAATGATTATGCTCTGACTACCCACAGCCAGTCAACCAAATTTTCCTCTAGTGTAGCTTCAAACATTTCAGTAAAAGGCTCTTAAGTTCTTGGTCTTTGGGAGGAAAAAAAAAGAGTGGTGGGTAAAGCTCAAAGATATCAAAAGTATTTAATCTCAGTAAAATCACATAGGAAAACTAAATCACATCCAATGTTACTTTGCTGCATTCAGAAATGAGACATTTCACAGGCCCAAATATTTCTGCAAAGCAATATAACCTATAGTTAAGGAATGAACTACAGTGTCAAAAAGCAGCAAGTTAACATATGAACCTGAACAAGTTCTTTATTTTTCCTTAGACTCAGTTTCCTCATTTGTTAACTTAAGGTTAATAATAATAGCTCCAACTTTATAGATTTGGTGAAATGATTAAATGAGATTATGCAAAGAAATCAGTAAGGATTAGCTACTTAACTTCTTTTGTCAGTACAATTGCCATGTGGACATTTACTAGTCACCTCAATTTAACATTTCAGAGTAAACTTCCTATCTTCCTGTTTCCATATGTATCCCTCACCTGTGTCAGTAAATGGCAGCTCTATCCTCCCAGTTATGCAGACCAAACACTTGATTAAACCATCCTTAACTCTTCTCACACCACACACCAAATCTCTTCATAAATTCTATTGACTCTACCTTCAAAATGCTTCCAAACTTGGACCACTGCTCACCACCTCCCATGCTACTACCCTAAGCCAAACCACCATCATCTAAGTTTTGAATGAACCTCCTAACCATTCCTTGCTTCTGCTCTTCCCAGTTATAGGTTATCCTATATAATAAAAGCCTATGTGGCCGTGAGGCCCTCATGCAGTAACGAGCAATCACTAGGAGGCTGCATGTGCAGCCGGTGCATGCGGGTGGGCGGGGCTGCGTGCCCAGCGAGGCGTACAAGGATGGGCAGGGGCTTGATGCTGTGTGCACGGTGCGGAGGTGGGTCCCGCGGCTCTGGCCTACCTCTTTGGGGCAATCCATCGAGGACTCCTGGATGGGTGGGTGGGCAGGGCCTACCTCTTTGGGGCAATTGATTGCGGGGCTACCACACTGTGAGAGGGCACAGGCTAGGCTGGGGGACCCCCCCCGAGTGCATGAATTTCGTGCACCAGGCCTCTAATCCTCAATAAAGAGCTAGAGTAATTAAAGTCACAGATCATGTCACGCTTTTCCTCCAAACCCATCCCAGAGTAAAACAGCTCACAGCCCAGCATTGGAAATCCTCCTACCTCAAAGTCACTGTACTTGCTGTTTCCTCTGCCCAGTGTCTTCCCGTCCCTCCCCCACCCCACCCCCCAAGACAGGTGCATGGCTCACCCCTCAGTTCCTTCATGCCTTTGCTTAAATGTAACTCTACCATTGAGGTCTGTCCTGACCACCAGTAACCACCTTATCACTCTATGCCCTTTCATATTCCACATTATTCCACAAAAC